CAGGGGGGGGGGCCCACCCCTCCGCCGAGCTCCGGGGCGCCGGCCCTGCCAATCCCTGGGCAGCTCAGGGAATGTCGCCTCCATTCCCCGTGTTAAACGTCTGAGCAATTCTCACTTCCAGAGTCAAACCCTCCTCTGCCCCCAGCCCCCTGACAGCTGCAGCGAAATTCAGCTGGACTCCCCCAGAAATTGGTCGCTATTTACCCCACCCCACAAAGGGAACCCCAGTGTCCCCGAGCCCTGACCCGCGGCTCGGCCTGGCCCCCGCAGGGTCTGGTTCTCAAAGCTTTCAGCCCCAGCCCCTTTCGCTCTGACAGTCCATTCCCGCCAGCCTCTCACCGAGGGGGGGTGAAGTGTTTGGATCTTCACACGGCAGGTGCCTGGGAAGGACCCGGCGGGTGGTTCGCAGAGTCCCACAAAGGGGTTTTAATTCAAGTGCAATTTGCCTCTAACCCAGCGCCCCTGCGGCTTAGCGCTTGCTTTGCTTGGGAGCTACTGAGCAGTGACAATAAACCAGCTTCTAGCACATGAAAAGTTGAAGCGCCGTGAATCATTTCATCTCCTGTTAAACCATAACCACCCCCCACCGCTGGGCTGGGCTGGGAGAGCTCAGAGGGTGAGATTATGGTCTGTCAGAGTGGCACTGACACCCCCTTGTGCTAGGTACTTTACACACAGAACATAAAACAGACAGGCCCTGCCCTAAAGAGCTCACAGTCTTACTAGACACAGGGTGGGAGGGGAAACTGAGGCACAGGGAGGGGAAAGGGTTTTACCCAAGCTCACAGAGCCAGTCAGTGGCAGCGCGTGGAACAGACCCAAGGGCTGCAGTCAAGTGCTCTGCCCACTAGGCGGTGCTGCCTCTCAGTCCAGAGGGAGGAAATAGAGGGAAACCAGGGGGCACTGGTTCTGCACGGGTTACACACAGACAGGCCCGGCAGGAAGGGGAGGGGAGCTGGGGTTGGCTCCTGGTGATGGGAGCTGGGGCTGCGGCTGGAGCGAAGGAAACAGCCATGCCAGCAGCAGTGTCCCAGCCCCGCAGTGCCCAGGGCTGCCCAGCGTGAGGGGCGCTATGGGGAGGGGGCAGCAGCCCTGATGGGGCAGCTCTTTGTTACCAGAGTCGCTGTGGAGCAGCCCCCGAGCGAGGCTGGGAGCCCGGTGCCCCCAGGGCTGAACGGGCCCCAGAAATGGGAGCAGCAGCTGGAGGCCTCGTTGCAGAGAGCACAGGCCTGGACCCCCCGCAGCCCCCGGTGTCCTGCCCCCGGCACAGTCCGAGTTCAGCCCAGTTATTCCTGCTTCTGAGCCGTGGGCCCAACCTCAAGGGGCTGAAGCAAGAGGTTTCACAGACGCAGCACAATCTCCCTTCCCGTCCTCTCTGAGACGCCACCATCGTAACAGCTCCCCCGGCCCCTGCGGGGCTGCCACAGCCTGGGCCCCCCAAGCCGCCTTGCCTGGTCCCTGGGGTGTTTTGGCCACTGGCCCCATGGAGCTCGGCCCAGGAGGGGCGAAGGATCCCGCGAGGCCCAGGGAGAGGTTGGTCCCCTCGCCAGGGGAGGCTCTGGGCAGTCACAGCCACAGGTACTCGGCCAGGAAGGCAGCCAGGATCTTGCAGAGGTTCTCCACGGTCGGGGGGTGCAGGTTCTGCTCCGTGTCCTCCATCGTGTGCCAGACCCACGGGAAGGGGGTGGCGATGAGGTGCAGCACCGGCACTCCTGCAGCCAGACAGATACATGGACGGTCAGCGGGGAACCAACCCGGAACCTGCAGCGCTGCAAGCACCAGCCTCTATTGCTGGAGCTACAGGAGTAATTCCACTAGTGTCAGCAGTAGTAGACTATTATCCTTATGTGGCCCAGCCACTAGAGGGCGACGTGTGACACATTCTAAACCCACACACCGCCTCAGCAGATGAAGCCAGGCCCTCAGGGATCCGGGCACAACCTGACCTTACATCTAGGAGCCCTGTGCTCCCCTGACCTAACAACGAGCAGCAGGCCAGGTGCATTATGGGAACCAGGTTGGCCAGAGACATCAAACAGGTCAGGGCCAAGTGGCGAGATAGCAATGGTGTGTTTATAAAGTCTTTCACCCCCAAGGATCCCAGAGCCTACGTTCAAATTGCAGCCACCTCTGGGGTGAAGCGTGCCAGGCAGGCAAACAACATTTATAAAGCATTTTACCCCCTTAAATAACACCACTTAGCTCTTGCATAGCCCTTGTCCTCAGGGGATCCCAAAGCACTTTACAAAGGGGGTCAGAATGATTCCCCCCACTTCACAGATGGGGAAACTGAGGAAGACAGCAGCAAAGTCACCCAGCAGGGCATCGGTAGAGCCAGGACCTGAACCCAGGTCTCAGTCCCTTGCTCCACTCACGAGGCCAGGCTTGTGGGGGAGCCTGGGGGAGTCTCACCACACATTCTGCCCTAGCTCCTCCAGGGAGGCCCCCCCAGCTGTCCGCCCCCACTGCTCTGCGCCTGGACGCCCGGTAACCAGGGGCAGGGCAGGTACCTTTGCGGAGGAAGGGGACGTGGTCGTCTTCGACAGGCCCATACGCAGGCTCCCGCTGGAAGTACGTCTGCTCCCGGGGGTGGGATTGCAGCAGGCCCAGCTGGTGCAGACGCTTCTCTGGGCGAGACAGAACAGAGGGTGAGGAATGGGCTGGTTAATGGGACCTGCGAGGCTGGGGACGTGGTGAGACGAGCCCCACAGCGGCCTGTCCGCTCACACCAGAGCTCCCTGAGGGCATGGAGACGCTGCTGTCTCTGGGAGCAGGCAGGGGAAAACGCCGGAGAGGGAGGGGGGATTTCAAACCTGACATGGTGTGTTTGAGGGAAATAAAGTGTTGGTGAAAGGTCAACAGCCCGGGGGGACTGAATCCCCAATTCCCAGCTCTTTCCCACAGCTGGGGCTAGAACCCAGGAGTTCTGGCTCCCAGCCCCCTGCTCTAACCACTAGACCCCACTCCCCTCCCAGAGCTGGAGCGAGAACCCAGGAGTTCTGGCTCCCAGCCCCCCTGCTCTAACCACTAGACCCCACTCTCCTCCCAGAGCTGGGGCTAGAACCCAGGCACTTTTATTCATTATCAGACAGATGCAGGACCATCAGGACTGGGGGGGGAAGGGGGGGAGAGTAGCTGTCCTGCTACGGGTGCCTGGGGGGACAAGCACCTCCCACCCTTGAAAGGAAGGAAGGTTCAGTACCGATGCCGACGAGCCGGTCGAACCAGGAGGCGGTGAGGGGGAAGTGGTTCTGGATGGTCGGGTTTCGGGCCCCCAGCAGGTCCAGCAGGACAAACAGGCTCTGGAAGGAAGCAACGAGGGGTTAAATCTGCAGGGGCCCAGTCACCCCAGGAGGCTCTGAGGTAGAGATTGGTACAAGATCCAGTGCACAGAGTGACAACCCCCCCCCCCCCCCCCACGACAGGCACCCCCCCATCCTGAAAGATCCCCTATGCAGAGCTCCCCAGAGGGGCAGGCGGGCGGCTCTCACCATAGCCTGGAGCTGGCTGGTGCCCGGCTGGTGTTGAGCCTTGGCCATGTGTTCAGCCAGGTGGCGCGCCCCGTACAGGGAATCCCTCTCGCTCCACTCCCCGAAGGCCTCCTCGCCGTCCAGGAACAGCAGCTGTAGCGTCACCTCGGAGCCCTGGGGAGAGACACGGGCTCGCTCAACCCCGGCACTGCCGGACAGGTGAGGGGACTGCACCGGGACAGCACCAGAGCTGGGGATAGAACCCAGGAGTCCTGGCTCCCAGGCCCCTGCTCTAACCACTAGACCCCACTCCCCTCCCAGGGCCAGAGATAGAACCCAGGAGTCCTAGCTCCCAACTCCAACCATTAGACCCCACTCCCCTCCCAGAGCCAGAGATAGAACCCAGGAGTCCTGGCTTCCAGCCCCCGCTGATTTTACCCACTAGACTCCATTCCTTTCCCCAAGCCAAGAGTAAAACCCCCAACCTGGGAAGCACTCACCTGCTCCTTGGCCTTCAGCAGCTCTGCGTCCAAGGCCGTGGCCAGCTCCAGCAGGATGGCGCAGGGCACGGCCGAGTCGGTGGCCCCCAGGAAGGTGCGGCCCTGCCGGTCGCGGGGGAAGTACTTGGAGTCATAGTGGCAGGCCAGGACCAAGCGCCGCCCGGCAGCGGGGTCCAGCGTGGCCACTACATTGGCAAAGCTCACGACACCCCGCGGGGTCCGATCCTCAAAGGCGTCCAGCTCTACCCGCCAGCCCGCAGCCAGCGTGGCCAGGCTATCCACAATGAACTGGGACAAGATGGAAAAGCCGTCAGGGTGCTGTTGGGGTGGGGGGGGCAGATGGCAGCGGTTTTGGGGATATCAGCAGGGAGGCCTGGGGGGGACAGTCTCACCCTTCTAAGGCAAGGGGCAGGGTCGGAGAGATGCTCACTATCTCCAAAGGGATCTGCCCAGTGCAATGGGGCTAGGATGCTCCGAGGCGGACCCCACGCGCTGCCTGACAGGATCAGAGATGCAGCCCACCTAGCCTGGCATCCCACCTCTGACGGTGCCCAGCACCAGCTTCTTCAGAGGAAGGCGACAGAACC